AGTATATTTGGTACCAAGGAGGTTATGTCAGTTTTCATTTTTTGGTAGTGATTATGGCAAAGTATAGTGGATCACTTATAAAGTAGTGGATATTTATTAAACTTATATTATGGGTCAGACATGGATCTAGGTGCTGGAAGCTTATATTCCAGGAAGTATTTAATCTCCAGGGTAATCCCTTGAGAGAGGATTATTTGCAATATCTGCATTTTACATGTGAAAGTGAGAATTGGAGGGTTTTATAATTATAGATTACATAGACAGTCAAGCTTTCGTTCTCAAACATCTTGGTTCTCCAACAATTCGGTTCTTGACCAAGTTGTTCATTGAAAAGAGGTCTTGGTTTTCTAACAAAACTTCAGGCCTCAATTCCTGACCCAACAGCCCTTTCGTGCTGATACCTTGTGATCGCTCACGTGCCTCTCAGGTGACAAACAAAGGTTTGCAAATGAATCGCTTCTTTAAGTTTTCTGTAATGAATTAAGTTTGAGAGCTGAGGTTCCACTGCATATTATATATGTGTAAATTTATATATGTAAATATAAATTATAAATACGATTTGCTCACACTCACCCGGCTGATAAGGGGCGGAGCCAGGATGCTGATTCAGGCCCTTGCCACCAAGCCCAGTGTTGCTTCCATTACTGTCTGTAGCAAGAAAGGGCCTTCACTCCAGAATCTGCTGTCCTTTCCTTGAAGGCACAGAAATGACCACAGGGCACCACATACGTCAGGCACATCGAACGTTTTAGGGTTATACTCTAACTATAATTTATTCAGGGAAGTCTAAACAGAATTAATTTTTTTAAAAAAGGTCACAGATTAAATGAGAGGTGATATGGTAGATTCCTTTATTGCCAAATAGATTCATTCTATAGACAGGTTGGTATTCATCCTTAAAGTCAACCAAAGATTCTTCATACTCATTTTGTTCCCTCACAACCAGTTTTACTGTCTAATAACATACATGTGCCAAAACCCTTCCTTTTGTACAGTGTAAATATCTCACATATACTTGACAAGTCACAGCTTAATGTGGTGCTTTTAGGTGACTCAGTATGTGTTAAACTGACTTAAATTCTTTCACATGCTAAAAGCAGTGGGATGAAATATTACCTGGTTAATTCTTCCCATAAGACCATTATTTATGTATATAATATTTAAAGAGGGCTATTTAATCTAGATTAATGCACCTTTCTTTTGGTAAATGACTTCTAAGTGTCATGCCACAGAGCTAGAACATTCCAGATGTCTCCAGGCCCCTGGTGCTGAAAGGTGTGGACCCTGGGCTTCGCTGGAACAGCCCCTTCCCACTGCTCACTGAGCTCCACCATCGTTTAACCCGGCAGGACTTTTGGATCCTGCTAAAAGTGTTAGGTGCTGAGGCTACACAGAGGTCTTCAGCAGAATGTAAATGTAAACTTATTTGTAAGTACCTTGTTCAGCCATTAAGAAATACACTACTTTTTAAGTCTTATCTTAGTCCCTCAAACTGGCATCTGGTGATGTACGTTCTTACTGTGCCACAGTGGACAGTGGTACACCTTTATCTTACTAAGAGTAAAAATGACCTGAGTGTCCTATCAATACTTTTAGGAGGAGGTTTTGAAACTTCTTTTTTTGTTGTTTGTTTATGTACACTTGCCCTTATTTATAGTCTTTGAATTTGTGTGTGTTGCACACTGAAGTAGCCAGGAGAATTATTACATTAGTAGGTGTTGCTTTGTGCTGAGAGAAAACTCTTGAGCTTTGGCATATGATTAAAGACTCCAAAGTAAGTTCTGTAACTTTATTTGGGGGAAGAAGGAAAAGATGCACTTAATCTCTAGCAAAATATCATAATGTTTTAGCTTTTACTCTTATAGTTTAATTGACAATTTTGCAATGTATAAACATTCTGTGTCTTTCTTCAGTGTGGATTTTCCTTATACTATGGCTTGTTCTTTAATGCCTCTTACATTTGAACACATACGTGTTGGTTGCTATCTTGCCAAAAGTGTTGCTATGTCTCAAACTTGATTTTTCCCAAATACCTTATTTTTAAAAAATAACTAAAATTGTACTTCTACATCAGCCTGTATTTTGGTGGAAGGCTTGTGCTGTCTTCTGTTTCACAGTGAATGCAGTCAGGCCTGGGTGAAGTCTGGACGTGGCCACCGGAAACTGGTGACTGGGGCCTGGCCCTGCCCATTCTGGGCTTTACATTTGGAAACAAATTCTTGTGAAGTCTTTGCCTAATTAGCTGACCTAAACACACTTATCATGGAATTTGACTATATCTAAGAAATCATTTCAAAGTAGAAACTTGTTGCGTTTATTCCTGTCCATAAAAAGTACACTATGGGAATAAAAACAAACCCTGTGCTATTTCCTTTTGGTACTATTGTTGTGGCTGTTATTCCCCCATTTTTAACTTATACTTGAAATCCTGCACCAGTCACATTCCTAAGGTGCTTAATTTCAAGACAGGGGTTTTGGAAAGAGTTGTTCTCTGTCTGTATCTGCACTTTTTCCCTCGTGGCTTGGAGCAGCGGGGGCCTGGAAGCCATTCATGAAAGGGTAGGCTTGTCCAATACATTTGGAGCTGGGGGCTTGAGAGGCAAGAGAAAAATTATAGGGTAAACGTTAAACACATCTAAAATTCATAATCTCAACCATAAGATCACCTGGAGCACAGGCTTGCTTCATAATTCATTCATTCACATGTATATTTCTCTATCTGGCCTTTTGTACAGAGCACCTCGAAAACCTGTAACCAACCTGTCCACTCATTATACAGTGGCACTGAGTTCCAGACAAATGTAGTGGAACCATTGCTCATACCTTATGGTTGTCTTGAATCTTAACCTTGAATTCTAAACTTCAAAATTAGTTGAATTTAAGTAGTATTTTTTTCTGTTACCTATTTCATTGTCAATATCTCTAAATGTTGAAGTACAAGGCAAACCCCCTACAGAACATCAACCAGTATAAACTGGTCTCTTCCAGTCTTACCACCTGGGTATGAAAGTTGCTAGCTTTCTTCACTTGCTGATGTGTGTCTCTTCCCGCTCCCATAGAGCTCACTGGAGTCCTGGGGTGTTGCACAGGAATTTACCTTACCTCAGCCCTTTCCAGTTTCCATGCTGCTCTGCTTGGTATTGTCACAGATTCTCTGAATCCTTGTGGTGCCTACCTATGAGATGCCATTGTGAGGGAGGAGAATGTTGTGTTGTACTGGGCTAGCGGCATCTTAAAGCAACATTTTTGGTGATGCAAAGTTTTACAGAAGTTTCAGAGAAAGAACTTCCCCTTCTCAACTGAAAATCCTCTTGTTTTAGGGGTTGGGGTAGGTGGGTACTGGGTATGGAATTTCAGGATGATGAAGTAATGATAGTAGAAAACGAATTGTTCTGCATTCAGTGTAAATGAAGCTTCTGCCTAATGAAAGTGTCAGTGGAATGCTACATATTGTTACAATGGTGAACAGTGACCTAGAACAGCAATTTTCAACATTTTCCATCTCATGGCACACATCAGCTAAGCACTAAAATTCTGCGGCACACCAAAAAATTATATTTTTTGCCCATCTGACCAAAAAGTAGGTATAGCTTTGTTTCATTCACATTGGATGGCTATTATTGTGTTAACTGTTGCATTTTTTGTTTGGCAATCTAAGGAAAAAGAGATCAGTTCCCCTGACTAAATAGCCAGGTGTTACATGTTTTAAACATTCTTGCGGCACAGCTGTTGAAAACTACCGATGTAGAAGATAGAGAAGTCTAAATTCTATGCTGTGATATCTACTATACCTAAAATCTCTGAATTTCAAAAGGCAATTAAGAAAATATTAATCATGGTGTACGATAATAGAGATCTTTCTCACGAACACTGTCTCTCTCTCTCGATCCCAGTAACCTCTTATCTTGGGAGATGATTATGAATGAGCATAGACTTGATACCCTTGTCCATATGGGCTAAGCAGATTGGGGTGGGTGTCAGGTTGTTCCTGGAGTGTGGGGAAGGAGGGGGCAGCTGTCCTGGATGAGCAGAACTGAGTCATCACTCAGGCAATTGCCAGTGAAAGCCTTGGGTAAATGCTCTGAAAACCCAAGTATCCATTTAAAAATTAATTGCATTTGACATTGATGGATCTCATGTGGATGATTTTCCTTTGAGGTCTACAATGTTCACTGCTGCACTGCAGATGTGGTCAGCCCCTTGTAACTCCAAAATGTAATAAGGATGATCCAGATCTTTACAGTTGGACAATGAGAAGCAATAATCAGACATCAGGAAGTGGGATCAATCTAAAATTCCACGGTTTGAGGAGCCTCAATTAGTTTCTCTCAAAGTGTATAATATCACTTCATTAGTCTCAAACACACTTTTACTTTGATGGTAGCCACCACGACCATCTGTAGTAACATGAAGAGTTATTCTGGGTCAAAGTGCTGATATTCCCAGAGAGCCTTCTTTTAATAACACTGGCATCGTATATTCTTTGCTCTGTTTCTTTGCCTTTTCTTTTGACTTTATAGGTTTATAGAGTCAGTGCTTAAAAACTGCAAGTTTAGTATTGAGAGCAGAGGTTGAAAGTTCTGTGCTTAACATTTCTTAACTAAATTTTTTGTGTGTTTGGGTTGGTGGGCTAGTATTTCTTCTATAAATTAATTTCTCCCCAGCTTTATTGAGATATAATCGAAATTTGTGCCTTCAATAACATTTTGGGACTCCTGGGAAGCCACTTCAGCCCATGCTGACCCTGTGGCATCATGTCACTGGAAATGCAGTTGGGAGCTCTTTGCTCAGCCCACAGGAGCCAGCCATTCTTTCAGAGTTTGTGCCATTTTCCCAAGGCAGCCCAGCATCATTTAGCTATCATACCTATCACGTGACCACTCACTCTTCTGTTGTGTGCTGTGACATTCTTAGACTCTGTATGTGTCTATTTTTGGCTTAGGTTGATGAATCTTTGTTGTGTTCTCTGAGCAGTTTGCTTTTGATCCGTGTTGAGAACCTGGAATATTGCTGTGCCAAAGCATCTCTGGGTATTGAATGGGATGAGAAAATAATGTAAGTTTTGCTTATTGATGATCCTGTGTTTCAGTGAGTTTGCAAAGTGAATCTGCAAATTCAGTGTTCAGTGAATTTAGAGAAGTTCTGAAAAATAAATTGTGTTCCTTGTTCTTCTTTTTTAAAATTTTTATTTAGTTATTTTTCAAGTACAATTTTCTGTTTATTTCTCCTATTCCAGCCCACCCCTCCCCCATGCACCCCACCTCTCTCCCATTTCCACCCCCCTTAGCTATTGTCCCTGTGTCCTTTATACTTGTTCCTCTACATCCCTCCCATTTTTTCCCTTAAATTCCCTCCCCTCTCCCCTCTGGTCGTTGTCCTCCTGTTATCTATTTCAGTGTATTTGCCCTTATTTTGCTTGCTTGTCTGTTTTGTTGTTTAGCTTCCTGTTAAAGGTGAGATCATATGGTATTTGTCAGTTCCTTGTTCTTTCTGTTAAGGTGGTAACAACATTCTTCTTGAGGACATTGCTTTGGAGCAGTGAGTGATTTCGTCATTTGAGCAAAGTAAAAATCCTTCATTGGTGCATAAATGCTGGCCTTTTAAATATTTGGTGTACCTGAGGCTCACACAGTGATTAATACCTAATCAATAATACAGTGTTAAAACCTTTGCAAAATTACAGAAGAAAAGAAGGAAAGGGAAGGAGAAAGGAAGGAGGGAGAGAAATGGAGTGAGAGAAAGGAAGCGAAGAAAGGAAGGAAACCCTCTCTCCTTGTGAGCCCCCCAGTCCCCAATACCATCAAAAGCTTCCAAAGTCCTAAATTTGCTTTCCATTAAGACAGTGGTTAGACAGCAGCTGTTCAGCCTCTTAAGAGAATACACGATATGGTAATAAACATCATGTCAGAAATATGCTTTTTGTTCACTTTACTAGGAAACGCAATAATGAACTCTGCATGTTCACTACACTTTTTACTCCAGGCCCTAATTTTAACGAGGGATCTCACTGCAATTGGTTCATTCCCTACCTAGCAAATGGAAATGTTTGTCTTTCAATTTCAGTCACCCCTGACTTGGATTCTTTTATGCAATGCATCGTAAAGTGCTCTTTGAAGTTCATGTGTCATCCATTTAGAATGAACACCACAGGTTGGCATGCGCTGCTCCTGTCTCCAATTGTGTTTGGTGTCCCAGTTTCTCTGGGGAAGGTTCAAACCTGACAATACCCTTCACTTATGGTATAGAAATCCATACATAATGCTGAGCTTGCCAGATGGAGTCTGAAATTTTATGGCAGCTTGCTTGCTGTATGTGTAGGAAATTAAATTTATAGAGAAATGGAAGGGTGATGATTTTAGTGCAATCAAATGTCTTGAAAAGTACTTCCTGGATGTCTCGTGCTGTATGTTGAGCAGGCCGTGTGTAGCAGTTGATAGCCTCTTTCTCTATAGCACGGGGCGGTTCTGGAGACACAGAAGACAAATGTGGTTTGGGACAGGACAGCTGCTTGTGGATGGAGGTGTGTGTGGAAGGGAGAAGGGACTGAAATTTTAAGAATGTCCCATGCATTTTGCAGAACTCTATTTAGGAATATACAGAGGCTACCAGATATATTCTGTGTGGTAATGTTGAGCCTGGCCATCTTGAAAGTTAGAAAGCTACAAGTAAAATGTTTTTTAGGGAACCATGTCTCTGCTGTATATGTGCATAACCCTTTATTGTTTATGAAGCACTTAAAATGTTTTCTTTTTTTTCATTTAATCCTTACAACATTGAGCCTGTGAAACTAATGGGTGAAATTAGTCACTGAAGAAAAGCAAACTGTAAAACTCCAAGTAATTTGAGGGATATCGCTTGCAATTCTTGAAATATTATTTATGAATGAGTTGATCAATTATATCAAGTGATTAAATTTTCTGTTGTAAACTTACATCTGATATCCATTTAGGTCTCTGATCTGAGTTCCTCATTCAGGGAGTAGAATAGTCTGAGCACCAGTCATCTCATTGAAGGAGACTCTGAAAATTGTCTTGCTATTCCCTTCATGTTATAGACAGTGGGAATGTGACTCGTTCAAGGTCAAGCAGATGAAACTGGGCCTGAATTCACATCTCTTTCACCACAACCCTTTTTAACCCTGGAGTCATGCACTTTGTATTACATATTGCAGTGAAATCCACTCATTTCTGTGTGTTGAAAGGAAGTGATTATAAATTGAGTGTGTGGACCTGATCTGGATTCTGATTCTAAGTAACAAACAAACAACTTTTTTTAAAAAATGATGAGGTTCAAGAGATGATTGCAAATTAAAAAACTGAGCAGATATTAAAGAATTAATATGTTTTTAGATGTGGTTATAGTATTGTTATGTTAAAAATATATAGATTGTCTTTGAGATCCATAGTGAAATATCAATGAATGAAATATGCCTGGGATTTGCTTCAAATCATGTAGTTGGGGTGCAAAGTGGAAGGATAGGGTAAGTCCAGAAGAAACAAGATTCGCTGTGAGTTAATAATGGTTGATTTGGGTGATGGGTACATGTGGGTTCATTGTTATTTTCTATTAATATTTGAAAATTTCCATAATTAAACAAAAATATGTGATTGGTTATATTTCTATGTACACCTGGTATTCCCACTGTTGGGCTTTCCATTTTGTCTTCTGCTCTTGTGTGTATCAGCAAACTATGAATTTATATTTATGCTTCTCCAAAGAAATTGCTTGGCTCTTTTTCTGGAAGACACTGTGAATCATAAAATTAAATTTGTTTCCATTATTGGTTTGGTTGTTAGAAAGCTGAGAACAAAATGTATTGCCTAGCACATACTTTTCTTGTTTTCATTCATTTGGCAGAGCTGAGATGATGCTGAGGCAGCCTTCTTTCTCTGCCCTTTTACCAAGCCTTTCACCAGCAGGGATAATGGAGAGTTAATTTTGGAGGCTGCACAATACAGTGGTGAAAATTCCAGGACTTAGACTATCTGCGCTTGTAGCCCAGCTTTGCCATTACTGACAATTAGTTTCTTTGAAGCTCAGTGTAAGCATCTGTACAATGGAATGATAATAGAACTCACCCCAGACATGAATGTTAGGATTAAATGAATAACGCTTTATTTTTTCCCCCGGATTAGTACATGAGGTAGGATCTAATATATGAAAAACAATACATTTTTTGCTGTTACAACCAATCAAGAATTATTAAGTACCTACTGTTTGCTAAATGCTAGACTGGGAAGGGAGATCTCAATGGTGTCCTAGCTTCACTTTGGGCTATATTTTAACTCGTTACATTTTTGTTCTATCCAATACTTTTTAAGTTTATATTTTCTTGTTATATTTTGTGTTTTTATCTAAGCATTCATGAATTATTTTTGAAATAAAATAGGATATAATAATATTGCTGTTGGGATTATGTTCATGCCTAATTGTAGGTATATTTTAAGTGATCATTTGAAGGATAAAGTATTTAGTAAACAGATCACCCAGGTAATTGCATAATTTCAAGTTCCAAGTACAGTAGTGGGGGAACTGAAATCTGGATTCTCTAAATGCTAAAATTTGAGAAAGAGAAGGTTGTTGAATTTATAAATTGAAATTTCTCTCTTTGGTAGTAGTGAGCTCGTCCTGATATAAGTCAGTCTTACACATCTTTCCCATATTTAATTTTGCCTACTTAATAAATGTGAGCAGGAAAGCCAAGCATGCCATTTGCCACCTAATCTCCACTGAGTTCTTAAGACTTGACCCACATACTATCATTGTACACCTCTTCCTTTTTCCACTATTATCAGGTCCATTAGTAGTTATTAGCTGGAGTGGTTGGACCAGGACCAATAGGGCATGCTCAGCATGCAGGGGAATGTGTGAATCTGTACATGCACCCATTTCTACATCCTACTTAAATTACAACTTTTTAGGCATGCCATTTAAAAAAGTGACAGGCTTGCATTAAGGACCAGTCAATCAGCTGGAACATTACATTTAAAAACCATCATCATTTTGAAATTTGTAGTCTCCAAGAAAGCATATAAAGTCAGCATTTTATTTTTTAAAAAGTGACTACAATTAATTCATGCCCTATTAATGTTAAACTTCCTGATTTTGGTAAGTGTACTATAGGCATGTAAGAGCACGCCATCGCCCTTAGGAAATGCATACTGAAGAGGAGAGAAAGACAGGGAGGGAGAAAATGTAAACAATTGAAGTAATTAGCAAATCTGGGTAAAGAATATATGGAGATATATTCCTTGTCCTACCTATTTTTATAGCTTTTCTGTACATTTAAAATTATATCACAAGAAAACTTTTTAAAAAGTAACAATTGAATTCTTTACTTAAAATGGTGAGATGTTTTCAGGAGTGATGTTTCAGTCTAGAAGGTATCGCTCCTTCTCTCTCCACAGTCATTGTTCAAGATTGGCTTCTCTGTCGACAGGCAAGGTAAAATGCCTGTTAATGGTATTATATTCTAGCATTCAATATTAAACTTAATTTGGGAATGGAACATGGTAAAATGGTGCAGAATATGTGAAGTTTCTGGCATTTTAAAGCCCAGCGATTCTTAACGGTGACATCATGATTATCTTAAAGTCGTTACAAAGTTTGTTCTTATTTTACAGATCCGAGTTATAAAGCTTAAGTGAGTCATTCCAGTGCTCCCTCTCCCATAGAAGACCATGTTGTGGTAACAGCTCTGAGAACAAGCCATACCTCTCATTTCAAGGGAAGTGAACTGTGATGTTTGTTTGGAGAGAGGCAAAGGGCTCTCCACGCTCCACCACTTTTTCAACAGTACACCTCCTAAAGCAAATTTCAGCCTACATTTGATGCTTTCTATCAAGAGGGCTTCCTGAAATGGCCTAGTTATTTGTTCTTCTCACCTTTGGGAAGATATTGTGCAATTTCTCCACCATCACTAGACTGCGGTTCTCTTATTTGTGTAATGAGAGGTTAATCTCCAAATGCCCTTCTAACTTGAATGTACTTCCTATCATTACATTAGACAATTCAGTTTCTCCAGTGGTGAAGACATTGTTGGAAGTTCTTATATGCAAAATATTTTTTCAAAATCTACTAGTGTTATACAGTATAAGGAATTATTTATATTATATAAATAGCATAATATACATAATTGTGTAAAAATCTCAACTGAGATTTTTCTAGTGAAAGAAGGTTGGTCTCCTTAAGTTTTTAGCAAACTTTAAACGATGAGAAACTCTTTAGGTTTATATTTTTAGCTCACACTGGCATTTAAGCTCTGAGTCATTCTATTTGAAACATTGTTTTTTAAATGCCAGGACATGGAATATCTAGAGTGATTGAATAAACTATTAATATCATGCTAAACACAAATAAAACGAGGTGTATGTTATCACAACTCTAGAGAAAAGAAGGGAATTTAAAAACTCAAGTCAGAAGAATCAGTGTGTGTGTGAGCTTGTGTTTGTTCCTCTGCTCTAAACAAAGAGAGAATTGATAAATCATGCCTGCATTATAGTTCCTTCTTAGTGTTGTAGATCACAGACTTTGGTTGGCCTTTTGTGGATTTTCATCATACAACTAGATCTACTTTAAGAAACTCTAATCTGTGAAAATCTTTACTGTGAAAACATCAGTTCTGGAACGATCATTTCTTTGAAAAGGTGGCTTTACATAGCTAGTCTTGTAAACACATAGAAAGTATGATTTGACTTGCCTACCACATTTACTGTTTAAAGTGAAGTATACGGTAATCTCTTATTGAAGAACCCCAAAATCAAGCAAACAAAATCAACCCCCCAAAAAGCCCCTTCAAAAACTCAGAGATGCTAAAATATAAAATTGCTTAGTAAAGTAATTATATGTAGAGTCTCAAGACAAACTGATCCTTAATGAAAATATATTAGGTCCATAATCTCTAATACACAATTCTGAAATGCAAAGAGCTTGGAACACTAGTTTTTTCCCTTCACTTTGGTGGCAAAACATGAGCGGGCCTGAACAAATTTGGTAGAAAACCTGGCTAGAACTGATGTGAGTCTATTTATAGACTTATTTACTTTACTTAGTGTGAATATTCATGCTTTTCACTGCAGAAATATTAATGTGTTTGATTCTAGGGAACAGTGCCAGATTTTGCTGGCGTGTTATATAATGAGCAGCAGATGTGCTGTATCACCTTTGTCAAATCCCCAAATTTTGAACTTTGAAATACACAGGGCCATATGGATTTCAGCTAAGGGATTATGAACTACAATATTTGTATCTAGTTCTTTGAGCTGACATTGAATTCTTCATTTGTATTTTTTAAAAGATTTGTTTTTATTTACAGGTATGTCTCCCTTTGACTCTTTCAGTTTCCTGAAGAATTGACTACAAAATAAAATTTTCAATGTAAATCATGTTTTCTTAGATCCCAAAGACACAAGAAGCCCACAGATACTAACAATATGGGATATATATGACTATATAAATAGCTTTGGTTTCATTTTACAATAAAAATAACTTAACATCCTTGTTAAAGCATATAGTTAACAGAAGAAGTTAATATTATGATGTTAGATAAAATAAATTAAAAAATAAAAACGTACTTAGTATACTTCTCAAAATCTAAAAGTTGCCTTTTGGGATTCAACAGATGTGACAAGAGATTTATTATCACCTTTCAAAGCCTTGCTTGTATTATGATTCCAAAACGGAGATACACATTGGAAATATAAAGTGTTTAGTAGCTTGCAACAGAAAATAGTGTAGGTAAAAACACTTTCTTTTGACCCTACTGAAAACTTTCTGAGTGGCCTTAATCAGGCTAGTTTTCTCTTAAAATTATAGATTCTATCTAACTTCTTTCCAGATTTAAATCTGTTTTTTCATATTTCCATTTAAAGAGTTTATTATGTTCTGGTTGACTGAAAAACAATCAGAGTTTGAATATTGGCCAGGATTTTAGAAACATCAAATTTTTTTAATATGAGTAAGAAAATGAAAGGCACTGCCCGGGGAACTGCTGAATGAATGTTCTACGGGCACACAGGAAGCTTTTCCAAGGATGAGAGCTCAGAGCACTGGAAGGCAAGGACAGGAGAGATGTGTGTCCTATGAAGAAAGGACTGGTATAGGCCAGTCACCAGACAAATACTAAATAAGACGAACTACATTCTTTCTTTTGGAGCCAGTGGATATAGAAGAGAAAACTGAAGAAAAGCTGATTGTTTAGATAGGTGCTAATTGTAGAGGAAAGGCATAAAGCTTCTCTTGGACCACAGAGAAAATGAATACATATATAGTTATTTTTTAGGGCCATTAGAACCACATCAGAAGAAATGCTCAGAGATTTCAGTACCTGGGAAATGTGCTAAGGGGTTCTCTAGATGTGGTAATGACTCAACCAGAATTAGGCAAGCTAAGAAAAATGTATGGTGAATTAAAGTATTTTAAACTGGTAGCCAAAACCAGAAAAGACTAGGCAATGATGGAGAACAATGAAAGAATAGTTCCTGTGTTTCTTGAAATCTTTATCTAAATAATCTATATCATCTTTTAAATCTTGCCATTACATGTAGACCGTGCTATGTATGGTGTATAAAAATGTATCAATTATGTTAAAGTCAAGAAAGAAATGAGTCAAATGTTTGTGAATCAGATTATTTGATGACTGTGAAGGATGAGTCAGAACCAAGGCTTGAATGTTGTATAGAAACACGTACTTTGCCATCACATGATCTGTCCCACCTTTGAAAGGAGCTTAGTCTACTTCTACTCACTGTGCAATTGGAATGGGTTTTTTTGGACAGGTTATGGCACTGTAACGTGTGTTATGGGTGATTTTCTCAGATCTGAGGCACCCTCGAGTGAATTACCAAAATAGCTTCTTAGAAGATGTCCTTCTTGTCTACAGATGAAGGAGAATACTGGTCAGGTCTTTCTATGGCCCTTGTCCTCACACCACAGGATGGCCATGCTCCTCTAGTCCCTGAGAGCCAGTCCAGGCAGTGAGAATGTAGAAGCATTTTTGTGCCACACTTTATTGTTTTCCGAGAGGAAGTCTTCCCAGGAGACTTTGCTTATATTTTATTGGCTTGACTGTGTCTTATAATCACCACTAAATGCTAAAAATGTTGGAGAAACACATGGTGCCTCAAATAAAATTGGGGTTCTTTTATTAGGAACTAAAAGAAACTTATATTTGGTAGCATATTTTGTAATTCACATGTCTTGCCAAAAATTCCCCCCAGGTTTTTATTTGTTTGTTATTCTATGCCTATATCATCCTTGCCATATATAAATATTGATAAATTTGACTTCGGATAAAAATATATACTATATTATTACATAGAATTTTGTATCAATTATATTATATATAATATTATATTATAGAAATATATGATATATACAATATATAGTTACACATAATTATGCTATATATAATTATATGTTATAATTATATCTATAATCTGAAGTCAAATTTATCAGTCTTTTATGGATTCTATGTTTAACTGCATCCTGAACTTATTCCCATGTGCTTATTTGCTATCTTCTTTTTTTTTTAAGAGATGTTGCTCTTTATTGAAGACCTGCTATCTTCTTTTGATAAAATATCTGGTTTTGCTTTTCGTCTATTTTCTAATTGCACCATTTTTTTAAATGTTAAATTTTGAAAGCTCTTTTTTTACATAATAGCCCTTTGTCTGATACGTGGGTTGCAAATCTTTTCACCCAGCCTATAGCTTATATTTTTATCTTCTTAACAGAGTATTTTAGAGAAAAAGTTTTTAATTTAGATGAAGTTTAATTTTTGCCTTTAAGGATTTTCTTTTTAATGTCAAATTTAAGGACTCTTTACCAGGTTATAGATAGCAGAACTTTTCTCCTATTTTTTAAAAATCCTCACCTGAGGATATTTTTTTCATTGCTTTTAGAGAAAGAGGAAGGAAGAAGGAGAAACATCAATGTGAGAGGGAAACATCAATTGGTTGCCTCCCATCTGCACCAGATCAGGGATTGAACCCACGACCTAGGTATGTGCCTTGACAGGGAATTGAACCTGCAACCTTTGGCTACAGGACAACGCTCTAACCAACTGAACCATACTGGCCAGGACTTTTCCTATGTCTTTAATAAGTGTTTTATGTTTTAATTTGCCTGTGATCCACTTTGAGTTTACGTATATATTTTTTTCCTTGAGGTATGGGGAATGAAATTTGGGTTGGGGTTCACGCTTTGCCTGTGGACGTGCAGTTGCTCCAGCACCGCTTATTTTTAAAAAGCACGTCTTCCTCCATCGAATTACTTTTTCACCTTTGTAAGAAATGTGTTGTAAGAAATATTTGTGTGGATTTATTTCTAGGGGGTACATTCCATTCCACTGTCATTCTGTCAGAGACCACCTTGCCTTGATTAGCTTATAAAGTCATATTCAAGTTGAATAGACTGGCTCCTCATACTTACTCTTTTTCAAAATGTTTTTAGCTATTCTAAGTTCACTTGCCTTTCCATATAGATTTTGGAATAGTTATCTATATTTATAAAAAATCTTGCTGAGATTTTGATTTAAACTGTATTAACTTTTTGAATTAATTGGGGGAAATATTAGCATCTTTACTACATTGAATCCTTCAATCCCTGAATGCTTTCCTTTTATTTAGATTTTTGATTTTCTTTCATTGGCTTTGTGTAGCTTTTGGCATGCAAGTTCTGCACATGTTTTGTTAACATTTACACTTAAATATTTCATTTCTTTATGAGTGGTTATAAATGATATTGTATTTTTAATTCGTGTCCACATGTTAATTTCTATCATATAGAAACACAATTCATATTTATATATTTATCTTATATCCTCACTAGTTTTAGGTTTTTTAAAGATTTATTGGGATTTTGTACATAGGAACATATGTCACCTGCAAACAGGGAGAGCATAATTCCTTCCTTTTTAATCTGTATGCCTTTTATTTACTTCTGTTGCCTTATTCAGTGGCTAGAACATCTAGTACCATGTTAAATAAGAGTGGATATCCTTTGCTCACTAAGTATAATGTTAGCTGTGGATTTTTGTACATGTCCTTCATCATGTTCAGAAAGTTCTCCTCTATTCCTGGTTTTCTCGGAATTTTCACCATGAGCAGGTGTTGAATTTTATCAAATATTTTTTCTGCCATAAATAGATAGAATTGTGTGATTTTTAAAACTCTTTTTCTTATAGTGGATCACACTGATTGATTTTCAAATATTTAGCAAGCCTTCCTTATATGTCTGGAATAAATCCACTTGGTCATGGGGTACAATTCTTTTCAGATATTGGTAATTTTTTATTGAGGATACTGTGTCTATATTCTTGGAACATAGTGGTCTGTAGTTTTGTCTTTTTTTTATACTATCTTTGCCTCTTTTTGGCATTAGGGAAATAATACTAGCCTCATAAAACAAAAATATTCTCCCGTTTCACAGAATATTTTTGCACATTTCCTTCTCAGACTTTTATTGCTTTTATTTAAACTTTATATTATCTAACTTTTGTTTTGAAATTAGAGGTGAAATAAGAAAATAAAAAACTCAAAGGTAGAATCAAAGGAACTTGATAATTTGAATTATTTGCAACTTGGGATACAATATATGGAGGTGTTAAAATGACTCCTTCAAAACTTTCCTCTTCTAAGAGGGCTGTTTGCATGAATGTTGCTTAATTCCGTTTTTGCCTGTGCTTTATCGCCTTCCAATTTATAATGACATTTTACACTGTGGTTTACTACTGCCTTCATGAAATGTCAAGTTGCTTCATGCTTTGGTGGTTTCTCCTGTACTGTTCATTTACCTATTTCTTTGTATTTCATGGAATCTAATGCTGGTGTTCCACCTACAACAGGGTTTTAATACGTATTGCTGACTCATAGGGTGGCCTAAAGGGGAAATGGAGCCTAAGATGAGGGGACCTGGTATAGCACAGGAAGATTCAGGAAAATAGACTAGATTCCCATGTTTCTTTCTGATGACAAAAGTAGAAATAATCAAAGGAGGCCCCCTGTGTGAAGCGGGTTCTTCTAGAGCAGACCACCCTGCCGTTAATCAAGCCTGGTCCCTGTCCCGGGGGCTTTGTCTTCAGGCTACAGCCCTGTGCGCAGCACTGGGCCAAGAGCCTCCCACAGTCATCACTAACACGTGGGCAACTCTCACCCCCAGCTGGTCGGAAAAAGACCGACCCACTGAAAAAATAACTGCACCAAGTAAAAGAGACTGTTTCTAACTTTCAGTTTCTCAGCATCTGCAGTTATCATCTGTTTTCAGTTTGGTAATTTTTATTAAGGCAAAGTGGCACATGCTGTCATAGGAACTGCTCCAGCTCACGCTCCCCAGCAGGTCACTAGGTATCCCCTGGTGTGCTGAGACATGATATGTTTTCTGCCAGTGGATGAAGTGGAGGAAAAGCTCTGCTCAGCATCAGTTTCTAGTTCACAGAAACAGACAAGCCATGGGCAGACATGTGAAATGCTGAGAGCAATTATTCCATTTAAGGAGTTTGTCCATGACCTCCACAAATGGTTATTAAGCACTCATAGTCCCTCACAGTGACTTTATTTCCCTATAGAGGTCAAGATAGTTGGCCTGCTATCAGGAGGCTCTCCTCTGGGCTGTGATTGTTCTCTGTGGTTCACCTACCTGCATGGTCTGTTCCCCCATGGTCCAGTCCACATCTGGCACAAAGCTGCTTGGGTTTTGGAGTATGGCCTAGAGTCAGAGAAGAGAACAGGCCTACCAGACCCACGCTGCAACAAAATCAGTGGTCCTGAACTTCATTAGCACCAACTAAGTGATCACAATGATTTGGAAGGAGAGACTGGCCACTGAAACTTAATCTGTGGCAAACTCTGAGTCTAATTTATATTTTATACGCTTTGAAGGAATATCTGATAGTAGCTGTGGTAATATAGGTGGATCTTCTCCCATGAACATCTCACTAGGTAATAGTGAGGGAGAAAGTAATGTTGCAAACAGCTTTTCCTAGAGTAAGAACTGTGGCTATGTCACTGACTTTGACAATGACCATGATGTTTGTCCAAGGCTGAGAAAATAAGAAAACAAAGTGGGGTCTGAGATGGGAGATTCTTAGATATTTGGCCCCAAAGGCCATGAGGCAACAAAATACTTTCAGAAGATGGGTAGTGGAGAGTTCGAAACAGAGCCAAGTAGGGAGCCTTTAATGACAGTAGGTCTTTTCTGGGAGGATGAGTTGGGTAGCTTAGCCTGGGCTACGACCCCTCAAAAGCAAGCAGAAGCCCTCTTGCAGATGTCTGAGAAATTGTGCTTCCATTGTTGCTCTTACACCAAACTTCATAAAACTTTCAGACTCTAAATGCTGAAATTCTTCTACAGACTCCCTGTGCACAGCTCAGATCCTCCATGGATGACTTGATACTCAGAGTGATGTCCCTAACTTTCTGCCAGATCCTGCCTCTCTGTCACTCACAAACTCATATGACCCCAGCCAACGGCTTAATTTCTCTGAACTTCAATTCCTTCTCTGCAACTCATGCAAAAAATAAAAAAAAAGACTGTTCTTCCAGAGGCAGGAAAAGCAGTCAGGATTATAACTTGTGGTTGGTTGCTCATGGTTGTAGTGTAGATAAAATGATGTGTATGTAGTATATACTGTAAAGCACTGCCTCCTCAAGGCAGATGTGCCCAGTGCCACCTCCTGGGAAAACAGATGCTGCGGGCCCAAGCTGCGGTCCTCACTGGGTACTGCCCTCAGCAGCAGGAAAACATCTAACCCAAGGTTCCGTTCCTCCTAAGGGCACAGCTGCAACCAGTGCTTGGCATCTGTAGGGATCTGTAGGCTTGTCCCTTTTACTTTATTTCGGGACAACTCTGTAAGGGCCATCTAGTTCTAGAGCTCACTGTAGAATCTGCTGAAATTCACTTGTAACCCCTCAGGGGTCAGCCTTTACCTCTGTTCAGTCCTGCCTTTTTCACTTCCTGCCAGGTATCCCTTCTGAGAACATGCCTCAAAAAATCTTCTGCATGCAGCATTCCATTTCGTAATCTATTTTCAGGGAACCCAGGTGAAGACACTTGGTACCAGGAATCGTCATAGGAAACAGACTCTAAGAGAAGAATCATTTGCTGGCTGAATGGAAATGAGGACCCCACTGCTGCTTCTAAGTAGAATATCTATAGTCCCTATTCTGTTGCTCTTGTGTAGCTTGAAATTTTGACTAGTAGTGAAGTGAATTGGGATAGTGGTGGAAGGAGTATACTGGCTTGTATTGAAGAATTCTAACTATGGGGACTTTGGCATTGATGGTTGCTGCTGAGCACCACTGATTCGTCAAAGAGGAAATAATGACAGGCTTAAGGTGATTAATTACCAATGCAAGGCAGAATGTAAAAATTAGAGGAGTTTCTTGGTAGCATTCAGAAAAATCCCAATCTCTTGTAGCTGGAAGACAGAGAAGAGGATCAAGTTCAGGGCTTAATCAAAAGAGTAGTGGAGCTTCAGAGAAGGTGGAACTCGAATCCTGGAAGTTCTTCTGAGCCAATGCCAGTGCCTCATTAGGAGAGGAGTGGGATCCTGGCACTTGGGCTGAGGATGTCTAGGTAAATGCAGTTGTGAACTTTGAAATCCCCATTTCCCTTCGATCTGCCGGGCTTGTAGAAATAGCGTGTCTTCCCTACTGGAATATAGTAACTCTACTTTGCTTGAAGATCATGCAGAGACTCGGCAATGAAGAAAATTCTTCCCTACCCTCCACCCTCTGCCCCCCCACATTTACCCTCCCTTCCTTTCTTGGCAATCAAACCAATGAAAACAAATCTCTTATCATACAACCCGGCAATCATGCTTATTGGTATTTACCTAAGAGCTGAAAACTCATGCCCACAAAAATACCTGTATGTGAATGCTTGTAGAAACTTTGTTCATAATTGCAAAACTTGGAAGCAGCTAAGATGTCCTTCAGTAGGTAAATGGACTGTGGCATTTCCAGACAATAGGATATTATTTAGCACTAAAATGAAATGAGCT